CCGCTCCCCTCCCCCCCCGCCGCAGCGGCCGTTAACGGGCGGCCCCGCTCCCGGCCGTTACGCTCCCGGCCCCGCGACCCGGCCGCCCCGGCCCCAGCGCGGCGCTCACCGACTTTAAGGCAGAGAGAAAACGCCCGAGCGGCCCGGAGCGGAGCGGAGCGGAGAGGAGAGGAGCGAGCACCCTGCGGGCGGGACCAACGCCGGAGGGAGGGAAGGGGGAGGGAAGGAGGAGGGAGGAGGCGGCGCGCGCCGCGCCCGGGCCGGCCCAACGCGGGGCGGGGGGACGGGGGTACACGGTGGGGTCGGAGGCGGCGGCGTCCCGGCCCTAGCGCGGTCCTACCCGGACGCGGCCCCCTCCGCGCCCCGGACGCCCCCGGCTGCTCCCCTGCCCCGGCCACCCGCCCTTGCTCTTCACCGGGGGCAGTGACCTGCTGCGCTGCTCCCTCCCCCCCCCGCCGTGGTGCAATGGACTCGTCCGGCGGGGGCGGGAGGGAGGAGGGGGGCAGGTGCGCGCGCAGCGCCGGCGCCATGAGGCGGGCGGGGCTACGCGGAGGGCAGAGCCACCTTCCGCCCCTCCCGCGGCTCCGCGCATGCGCCGAGCGCGGCGGGCGGCGCCGTGACCGTTAACCCGTGACGCGGCTGCCCGGGCCTGAAAACCCGCAGAAACCGCCAGAAAGGCGGCTCGCCACCAGCGCGCCCTCAGTGCAGGGCGTGAGAGGTGCCATCTCACACAGCGCAAGCTCTTTCACACAGGCTAGGTGATGTGTGCATCACAGGGCTCGGAAACACTACCGTGGTGTTGAATTTATGCCCAAGATGTCTCATTTTTTAGGAGGAGCTCAATTACCATTTTAGATATATATTAAAAATACTGTATTTCACAACAAACACATTTAACATTTCTTTTCACTTGTGCATTCCTCCAAATAAACCTTGTTCACAGTAACTATCAGAGACCCTGTATGTTTACCAAGTTTTTTCTATGCAGAGAAGTTTAAAACTGTAAGGCAAGCACAAGTTTTTTCCGTTTTAGACCTTTGTCGATACAACTGTTAGGTACGAGATTTGCAATTAGATTTACAGTTATCTTTCCTTAGATCCTCATGGTGGTATCACATTGCATAGATTCCATATATCCCAATCTAGACAGACAAAATTAACTGTTCAAACCTACTCACATCTGATGCTAGAGCCCTGCTCCGTATTTTCAAAAGTGGGGGCCTTCTCTGCTTCAGGTCAAAGAGAAAAGCTTTCACTAAAAATTATAACAACAGGTCTCTCATCCTATCTTCAGAGCGTAGACCAGCCTGTGTATTGGAAGACAATATATAAGAACCACACTTCAGGTCCTTTAAGCACAGCCTAATAAGCCATACACTACTTCATACTGTTATCGATCTATGCAGTCATATAAAACTAGAAATGGGAATATAACAGCATGTGATACATACCATCCATACCAATACGGGACAGGAGGTGCAACTGCAGTTTAGTTATCTGCTCCCTCAAACGGCAGAGCAGTAAATGAATGGAGCACAAGTCTCCCTCTGGAGAACACAGCTGGCAAACTTGCACCAGGTGTAAAGTATCGATGCCACTTTAGCTAAAATCTCTAAAATTATTGGGTAAGTTATGGCAGGTGTCTGAGCAGGGCCGGTCACAATGCCCCAGTAAGGGCAGGCAGCTGCACAATACTTGGCTTTAATTAGAGGTGTCCCCAGCCCCACTTCTTTTTCTGTGCTAACAAAACCCTTCTTTAACTCAATCTCTCTCTCACTCTCTCTTTTTTTTTTTAAGTAGAAATTGATTCTTTGAAATCATTTCAAGCGTTCCTAATTAAGCATATAAGAGCTAGCAGAGATTGTATTTAAAGTCTGCAAAAAGTAAATAATCCTACCTTTTATCTGCGATACTCTGCTATCAAAGCAAACTTGGTTAACTTGCATTTGATTTAACCGCCTTATTCAACCCATTAACTTAAAGTCTCCATTGAGGCTGCTTATGATGCATTGTCTTCTTGCCTGCACTGTGGATGTTGCACCATCAAGCAAACTACTGTTCATTTATTTACACTGCCCTACAGGGTGGAAAGCCAGGACAAAGCTGAGAGATAGTAAAAACAAAATCACTCATGTTACTAATATACTTAGGATTTATGTGTATATAAAATTTTTAAAATAAGGAAAAAATAAGGTACCCTTGCCATGTATGACACATCAACTTGGAAATGAAACCACCATCCTTTCTTGAGCTATAGTATTTGCACTCACATCTGGAAATACAACATTACTCATCTCAATCATATAATAGGATGCTTAGGAGAGCCACAATTGCAATAAATACAATTTCTTTTGCTGAATGTGTTAGGAGTCACTGAATCTGGCAGCACAACAGAGGCGAAGCTGGTGCACCTCTGTGCCCCCCGCTGCAGCTAGCAGCCATGCCGAGCATGTAGTCCCAACAGGCACACCCATGTACATGTGTGCACAACATATGTGTGCATATAAACATCTGGCTGCCCAGATCAACAGAGACAGGATCACAAACATGCGCTTATGAGTGCAAACATTGCACTTACGCACCACAAGTGGCATCAATGGTCTCATCCTGTCCCCCTTTCTCGTTAACCTGGGTGCAGGTCTGCTGCCGGCAAATATTTACGTGTATATACAAAACATGGATCCCCAGTAACTGGCATTAACACCCAGTCTAATCAGTAGTTACTCCCCACCTCTTCATTCTCTCCAGCAATTGGGCCTCCTGCTCCAGCAGCCAGCTCCTCTGGTTATCTTGCACACATATTCCTTGCTACCAAGCTGCTCATCCTACCCAGACAGTCCAGCTTGATATCCACTCATGATCACGCATCCCATAGGTGCCTGCTGGGTCTGTGGGGCTTCCCCGCCTGCCTCATGCCTGTGTGTTCATGAAGATATACTTTTTATCACTTAACCTAACAGAAGTATTCTGCAAATACTTATTTTGTATGTTTTGTTCTCTGGCATGGGGCAATTACATTTATATACAAGCCAGATCTCATCTCACACCACTTTGAGTGTTATTTTTGTATTGAAACAACATTGGTTATAAATCAGTGTCACAAAATAGTGCCCTTCAAGTCTGACAAGTCTGCTTTTATTGAAGACACAATTAAGCAAATTCCAAATAACAGCCCAATGAAATTCCCCAAATAACCCATCAAAAATACCTGAGCAAGACCACATTTAGAAGGAAGACTTCCATCCTTTCATTCATTTGCAGTATATATTAATTTATTTTAAATCCAACACACACTCTGCTTTGCTTGGTACGCATTCTTAAATGAGAGCATTTGTCTATAAATCACAATTACATTTTGAGACTACAAAAGTGCAAAGCGTATTGCCAGTTGAGCTCTTCTCAATAGCTGTAATTTCTCACAGCTTACCAAGAAAAACAAGCAGTAAAGCTTTACCAGCATAACCTAGTAAGCTCCCCCTTACTTGCAGTATGAGATTTATGTAAAAAGAATCCTGTTTCACCTCTTCAAAGACTAAATATGAATTATTTGATGGCATGTATGGGTCCTAGTGTCTTCCACACCATACTAATTTAAATCTGCATTCAAATAATGCCACTGCATCACTTTTAAACATCCTTTCTAAAATGACATCTGTCGGAGTTACAGTAGCCTTGTCTGGCACAGCTGAGTTAAACAGTGAACTGGTGCAACCTGCTATCCATGACAAACTGTTGTAGTGATATCCTTTCCTCTTGGCCCTGCTCCGCTCTGGTCAGTCAGTCACTTGCTGCACGTTTGCTATATGTGCCTGCTAGTATTAACAGACCACTTGAAAATGTGCATTTTAGATATCAAGTCGGTGAGGTTTTAGAAACGTGGTGGTCCCTCATCCTATATCTTTATTAGCTAATTCACTGCATCCCAGAAAATCTTATTTCTATTGTGCCCTTGCTTCAGAGGTGGTGGTGGGAGTCCATTCTACTTTTTAACGCTATAGCTTCTTACCCGCTGGCTGAACCCATCGGTGATTGTTCCCCTTCACCATTTTCCTGGGAAAATGGTAAGGCAAAGGATAGCATGAGTGAGGTCTGGTTATGCAGTGAACAGCAGTGATTTTATTCCAGCTTCGAGGAAAGATCAAAGCTGGCAGTGGTATGAAGCAGGCCTGAGGTAGCCAGCCAGAAAGCAGAAAAAGCAAAAAGCAATACTACTATTACTGAGGTTACCACTGTGGTCGTAATGTATTAATCTCTAAAAAGCATTTTGCAGTATATACTTTCAGAATCCCTGTTATTGATATATTGTCCATTATGGACAGTATGGAATATGGACAGTGATCTGATGTTTGCAATTTTCATGTACTAGGAGAACAGGAAGAATAGATAACTACTGTGAATCTTAAACTTGATAAAGAAGTGGCAAAATGGTAACATTTGTGATGTGCTCCTTATTGCAATGTTTTTTGAAGTTCACAAGTAACACCATGAACTTGGGTGTACCATGAAGCAAAGTCTGATTTAGAAAGAAACTTGTGTTTTAAAATGAAAGATCTCATACTTGGTGATGTATACACATATACAGTGTGTACTAGAAATAGGGATATGGGTGTGTGTATGTGTTATAGTTTAACTTCTTTATTGCTGGAATGCTGTCAGTCAGTTGGTGACTGAAGGAATTACCTGGTTAGGTCATACTTAAAAATCCACAGTGCTACTCTATGCTGATGGCCCATGGCTCATGGGTTCCAGGTTTATCTTTTGGAACCTGTAAGAAAATATAAAGAAAACAATGCAATTTTGCTAAGAGAAAAGACAAATCACCATAATTCACAAATGCACATTCCTTTTCAGGCATTTAAATGCCATTACGAGCATCAAGCTCCACATTCTCTTACTATAAAGTCTTATGAAATCAAGCAACTTACCTCTAGTAGACTGTATGATGCTTGTAATCAATCAGTTAAATAAGGTACCTCTAATAGGTACCTTAAGGTACCTTAGCCTACAAAAGTGCTTTATCTTGATTGTAACTCCTATTAATATGAGAAATTGTATCACTTCGAAAAACCTGATCTCTGGCTGCTCTGCATGGAAGGAAGCAAAGGTGGATGGATGGGGAATTCACACTTCCAACCTCAAAAAAGGTTTGAGGTCAGGGTATCTCTTGCTGGCTGCCTTTGGAGTAACTAGGGGCTGCAGGT